TGCCAGCTCAGAAGCCGCTGTGGCGCCAGCCCTGCCCTGCAGCATCCACGCTGCCAACACCTCCTGTTGCAGCCATCCAGCATCCCTCCCAGGAGCTGTAGCCTGAATCTCCCTCTTTGAGGCATTGATCCTGGGGCTCTGCCTATCTGCCTCATTGCCCTTAACTGCTTGCCTGCATACCTGATCACCCCTACTTGTCTGCTAGGGGGCAGGGCCAGCCCTGCAATGAGAGCATTGTTTTGTTGTTGTTATGCCATTATGTTCACTGGGTTTTTATTATATAGGACTTCAATATTATGGACTATATTCCCTAGGCTTTACATCCCCATGAAAATGTTGTAACTATCAATTTATAGAATTTGTCAAAACCAGTTTTCCTCAGTGGATAGAGCGTTGGCCTGTGGACAGATGGGTCCCAGTTTCGATTCTGGTCAAGGGCATGTAACTTGGTTTCGGGCACATCCACAGTAGGGGGTGTGCAAGATGCAACTGATCGATGATTTTCTCTCATCAGTGTTCCTGACTCTCTATCCCTCTCTCTTTCTCTCTGTAAAAAAATCAATAAAAATATATTTTAAAAAATGTATAGAATTTTCTTTTAGAATTTTTCAAATTTTCAGCAAGGGTGCCTCTCAATGGGAATTTTTATAATCTGTGGTTTATTTTGTTACCTTTTTTACCTTTGGTTGAGAATACTTAAGTTCTACCTCTTAGTAAATTTCAACTCTAAAATACAGTGTTATTGACTTTAGTCCTCCTGTAAGAGTTTAAGTCCTTAGGCCTTATTCATCTTATAACTGGAAGTTTCTACCTTTTTACAAACCTAATTTCTGCACCCCCAACCTCTGGCAACCACTTTTTAATGAATTTCATATATTTTTTTAATTCTACATATAAATTATACCATACAGTATTTTTACTTTCTCTGTTTAGCTTGTTTCACTAAGCAAACTGCCTTCAGGTTCATACCTATGACAAATCGCAGAAATTTCTTTTTCTCCTGGGTGAATAATAACCCCCTGTATGTGTGATATTTTCTTTATCCGTCCACCCATTGAAGACACCTCGGTTGCTTTCAAACATTAACCACTGTGAATGCGTGTCAGTGAACATGGGAGTACAGATATCTCTGCCAAAAATTGTGTTGATCTGACTGGATATCCCAATTGGTTAGAACCGTGGTAGGCAAACTGTGGCTCACAAGCCACATGCGGCTCTTTGGCCCCTTGAGTGTGGCTTTTCCACAAAATACCACAGCCTGCGCGAGTCTATTTTGAAGAAGTGGCATTAGAAGAAGAAGTTTAAGTTAAAAAAATGTGGCTCTCAGAAGGAATTTCAATTGCTGTACTGTTGATATTTGGCTCTGTTGACTAATGAGTTTGCCCACCACTGGTTTAGAGCATGGTCCCTGTAACACCAAGGTTACTGGTTGATCCCTGGTCAGGGTGCATATATGATCTCACTCATTTGTGGAATATAATGAACAACATAAACTGCTGAACAAAACAGATTCAGAGAAAGAGAAGCATCGATCAGACCTTCAAACCTCAGAGGGAAGGTAGGGGAGGGTGGTGGTAAAAAGGATGGATAAACCAAAGGACTTATATGCATGCATATAAGCCTAACTAATGGACACAGACACCAGGGGGGTGAAGGCATGATTGGGGTGGGTGGGTGGGAGAAAGAGTCAATGGGGAAATAAGGACACATATGTAATATCTGAATGAAGAAAAAAAAGAATCTAACAATGCTTTTCTGTTTTTTGGATGCTGGGTGTTTTTTTTGTAATAGATGCGCAATTCTGTCAATTTATTAAAAATTTTGAACTGTAAAAAAATTAAATAAATAAATGAATTAAAAATCTTAAAAAAGAATCAAATAAGTTTATTTCTTTCCATTATCTATTTATTTAATCTCTTTCCCTTCTCTATTTTGAAAATCAATTAATAAATTAAAATTATAAAATAATTGTGTTGTGTCTTTGGATACACATTCAGAAATGAGATTGCTGGATCATGTGGTAATCCCGGCTTTAACTTACTTACTAATGAAGATAAACGTTTCCTCTTTTCATGATATAATATGAGAAAGATAAAAAAATTCTATCTGATACACACTAGATAATTTAAATGTAAAGTTTGATTTCTTCTAATGTTCATGTGTCACTTAACATGTGTTTTCAAAGTCTACTATTTCTACCACAACAGTTATGATCAAGTGAAATTTTAAAAAATTACATTTGTTTTCCTCCTCCATAGTTAGACTTGGGTGTTTGTTATTTAAAACAAATACTTCTATTAAAATATAAATTACTGATTATAATTTGAATATGAATTAATCAGCAATATGAGTATTAAGTTGATATTTCAATTTTACACACTATGGTATATTTCAGTGTTGCTTACTATTTTATCCTTCACAGATATTTATCATTATCAGGAAAATTTACATTTTTAATATATAAATAATAAAATTAAATATAGCAATTTTAAAAACAAGAGTGTAAGGAGATATATTTGAAAATAAATATTTGTAATAGTTACTATACGTTGAAAATGTAGTGATTCTTCAGAAAATTAGTGACAAACATCATTAAGTAGCTATTGTTAATGAAATTATGGTTTTAGATTTATTCTAATTAAAGTAACATAATGAGTATATAAGTAAAATGAGGTGATGGCCATTATTTAGCAACCTTGTCTAAGAGTAGAACTTAAACATCTGAGATACTCTTCACAAGGCCTAAGATTTCATGATGTTAATATGAAATAAGCTAACATGGTGAGGGGTCAAGTCTTTTGTCCCAGAAATCTTTTAGAATATGAAAATAATTTCTCAGAGGCATTTCCCAATGGACAAACCAAGGGACGCATTGCAAGCTCAAAGTCTCCTATACTAGGAAGATGTGTGATGAGATAAATCACCTTCAGATTTGCCCAAGTGTAAGAATTTCCTGTTCAAACTCTAAGTGACACAGAGATGAGAAATCTACTTTTTTTTTTTTTTCTTTCTACTTTTGATTCACTCCCAGTCTTCACAGGACAGTCTGTGGACATCACAGACATTGTTTGTTTGCAGGAGTGACCTGGCCTCTCATTAAGGATTCATAACTTTCTGGCTCCCAGAGGTATGTGAGTCTACTCTCCTGTCTCTCTACTGGCCCAGTTCATTTAATGGGAAATTGCAAATGCTAGATGTGGTACTACTGAAGTACAATTCACATACAACCAAATAAAAGAAAACATTGGTATTCTTATTTATACAATTTAGGATAAAAGAGTAAAATATGAAATGTGTTGGTAGCTATCTTAAAATATTCAAATTTTTGCCTGTATAAAATTACTAAAGAGCATACATACATGCACATTTGGGCTTGTAAATCAGTATAACTTCAATAAAATTCCATAGTATTTTGAAATTAATAGATATAATTATAAATGTATATTTTTTCATATTTATCTCATATTTTAAAAATAGATTATTTTTTTAGTTTATTTTTATTTATTTATTTATTTATTTATTTTTACATATTTTATTGATTTTTTTTTGCCCCCCTCCCTCCCTCCCACACATCCCCTCCCTCCCCAGAGTTTTATGTCCATTGGTTGTACTTATATGCATGTATACAAGTCCTTCGGTTGATCTATTATCTCCCCCAGATCCTCCTCCCCTCCCCGCTGTAATTTGACAATCTGCTTGTTGCTTTACTGTCTCTGTATCTATCTTTTGGTTCATCAGTTTATAAAAATAGATTCTTAACAAGAATTCCTCAAGTCGTGAAGGTAAAACATAATTCCTCATACATACACTTCCATTAAATAAAATCAGTGTGAGTTGCAATAAAAATCAGGATTTAGTAGTCTTGGTAAAATGCTTATTTAAACTTTTAAAAATGTTTGTTGTTGAATATTTAAGCTTAATTATAAATAATCAAGATACTTTTAGAAATTGAACAACACATGCAAAAATATGCCACACTGATAAGAGACTCCTGTCTAATGAATTATGTTTTCATTGTCTGATAAGAATCAGAAATAGTAACAAGGCCATTGTGTTAAAATAATTAAATCAAGTGACATATTGAGGGTTAATAAATGTCAGATTGAGTGTTATCTTCACATGCATTGTATCTTAACATATTTTTATTCCCACCTTAGATTAGTAAGCTAGGTTGTTAAACACTAAATAACATTTAAAGGTAATACACTATCAATTTCAAAGCCAGAATTTATTCTAGATCTCACTGATTGCAGAGCCCATTGACTGAATTATTGAATAAATTATCAGATTTATTACATTTGCCTACACACTAAAGTCACCTTCGCTGACTTTGATAGCTATAGGATCTTTCTGGAATTTTGCACCAACAATGTTCCTCCATAAATGACATAGATATTTCTTAGTCATTTTATGGTTTCATATCTTAACCGTTAAATAAATTATAAGTTACTTGTGTAAAGTTAGTATTTTTAAAATTCCTTTAATGTTCTATTGCTTTTATTATTTGTAAGTTTTAGACACTTTTAGTGTGTCATGTATCATTTTCAGCATATAAAATATTTTCTTAAATTATAATGATTTCTCAGAACTCCACAATTATTTAAAACATCACTTGATATTTTAAAATATAATTTGCCCTTTTAATAAATAAATATAAATTACTAAATAAAATTAATTTCTTATAGAAAAGTATTCTAATACTAGTATTCCCCCAACTTTAAAACACTAAATATGTTTATTACTGAATTAAAAATTGTCATAAAAATTAAGGCATCACTTTTTACTATACAGCATTTAAATTTTCACAGTTATTCTAATTGTATTAAAATGTTTCAGTATACTCTGACTTTAATAATGATATCATTATTCTGAATTTCTTTATTCTTAGATAACTTATTTTTCATTGTTTCAACCAATAATATTATGCCAAACACACATATCATATCATTTTGAGAACTATTATTCTGTCATGAAACACATTTAAATCTCTATGTAAGTTAGAACAAGATTTCACATTGGTCAAATGCAAAGTGAGTACTGTTACTTATCTCACACTCCACCCCCAAAGACTCTCCTTGGGGTCTTGTCATTGTTCACATCATTTGTTAAATACTTAAGTACTGTTACCCTAAACACCATCCTGTCATTACTCAGCCTCATAGATGGATGTCCAACAAGAAAATGACTCAGAAATGAATCTGGCTAAGGACTTAAGGAGACAGCAAGTGAAAGGTAAGGGCGTGAAAAGCTCCTTTATACCAACTGAACAGTAAGTATTCTATGTGGGAATAAACTTCCCAGTGCTTTTCAAGATCTTCAATGGAATTACAGGGATGACTAAAGCAAAGGTGACACATTTATTAGACACATGGTATAAGGGTCCTAGGAGGTGCAGCTGGAATACAGAGATGTGCAAAGGAGTAGGGAATTAGCTCACGTTTTTTCATTTGTAAGGACCAGAGCTTGAAGTTGGAACACAGTATTCTAAAATGAAATCTGAGGGCTAATTTCATTCAGGCATTGTTGTGAGGTGTCGTCTTTGACCAACAACTCATGGAGAATTGTGGAAATGAAATGGTTCATCTGAGAGGAAGATTCCACTGGTAGATATAGTTTTGGGGTTCAACTTGATATATGATTCACTGTGCATGTGGGTTCTCCTAGAGATGTAAATTGTCCAAATAATGTCTCCATCTCTGCTTTCTCTTCCTGCAGATTCACCATCACCTCCAGAGAAGCTCTTTGCTTGTGTCCTGGGAGTTATCTGCCTTATCCTGACGTACAGTGTAGTGAGAGCGATACATTTTATGCCTTGTAAGTTTTCAAAGATTTCAAGGAGACATAATTTTAAAGAATTTGATTGTTCTAAGGATTTCATAATACAGTATTACAGAATAGAATTCTAATTTTAATGTCTACATTTAGAAAAATGTGCTATGCTGAATTTGTCAAGTGCATAGATATAGAATGACTTGTAGAAAATATTTTACATATATTTATATATTCTGACTTCATAACTTAAACATATACTTTATAGGAATACAAAAGACCTTATTGAGAAGTACAAATTAATTAATTTATATTGGGTAAGTCAATACTATAAGTGATGGAATAGTTTGTTCCCATAGGCTTTTAAAATATTTCTCCCTAAGTCTGTATTACTTTATTCATTTTTCTTAGTAAAATCAATTTTGTTACAGATAAATCTCATCATAGATAATATTTAAAAAGACTTCAAGCTAAAAACAAAAAGTGTTATGTTTTATTTAGATTAATTACTTTTTAATTTTTTAAGGTATTGTTAAACTGGAGAAGAACAATTATTCCCAAATAACAAGGATCCAGAAAGGTACATAATGATTTTCAAAGTTCTGATACTAGAAAAGTTTATATTTTGTCTCTATTACAAGCTGGGCAAAAATGACAACAGACCCTTTCAATGGGGAGAACATAAATTTTAAAATGAGCAATAAATATTTACAAATAATTATAAAGGAAGTATTTCTTCTTATGGAACAATAAGAAAAAGTATTTACTTAAAAATCACCATAAATTCTATTGCCAATTATCTGAAAATTCCTCGTGCTCTATTATGTTGAGACAAAATCCAATTGCTATTCTAAAAAAAGTGGTTTCATTCAATGATTTCCAGATATTAGAAATTAAATATTTTTCTATGTGCTATTTCTTTATTTGAGCACATGAATTAAGCAATAAGGGGTGGTCATTCTCTGTGAGTGGGTCTATGTATCAGCCTGTGAATGTGCATACATGTTGTGCACGGATATGTATGTATCTGTGCATATATGTAGATTAATTTTTTATTCAAAATGTGTTCAGTTAAACATTTATAATTTTTCTTTAGCAAATCATTGTGGTCATTGCCCACTGGAGTGGTTTATGTATTCCAACAATTGCTATTACATTAGTACTGAAAAAAAAGCATGGATTGAGAGTTTAAAGGCCTGTGCTTCTTAGAACTCTAGCCTGCTTTACATAGATAATGAAGAAGAAATGGTAAGATTTAAATGTTTCCATTTTATTTTATAGACAACCATGCTTCTATAATGCTATTCTTCTAATGTAAACTTTGCTACTTGATTTTACTATACATCAAGGAAACTGAAGTTATCATGATTTAATTAAAAACTTAAATGACCCATCCTATCTAATAAAAGGGTAATATGCAAATTGACCATACTTCAACACACAGGATGGCCTCCTCCATGTGGTCAAAGATGGCTGCCCCCATGTGGACACAAGATGGCCACCAGAAGATGGCCACCAGGGGAGGGCAGTTGTGGGTGATCAGACCAGCAGGAGAGGACATTTGTGGGGGACAGGCCTGCAGGCAAGGGCAGTGGGGGCCATCCAGGCTGGCAGGGAAGGGCAGTTAGGAGCAAGCAGGCCTGCAGGGGAGGGTAGTTGGGAGTGATCATGTCTGCAGGCGAAGACTGTTGGAATGGGGACCAGGCCTGCAGGGCAGGGCAGTTTGCATGGATAATGCCTGCATGAGAGGGATGTTGAGGGGGACCAGGCATGCAGGGGAGTGCAGTTGGGAGTGACCAGGCCTCAGAGGAAGGCAGTTAGGTGCAATTAAGCAGGCAGGCAGAGATGTTAGGGGTGATCTGGCTGGCAGGGGGGCAAGGTTGGAGCAATTAGGCTGGCTGTGGGCAAGATAGTGGTGATCAGACCGGTAGGGGGGCAAGGTCGAGGCAATCAGGCTAGGAAGCAGAGGAGTTAGGGGCGATCAGGCAGGCAGGCAGGCAGGTGATTGGGTAGGAGCCTGTTGTCCCAGATTGTGAGAGGGATGTCTGACTGCCAGTTTTGTGCCTAAACTGGCAATAGGACATCCCCTGAGGGGTCCCATATTGGAGAGGTTGCAGGCCGGACTGAGGAAACCCTCTTTACACGAATTTTGTGCACTGGGCCTCTAGTATTCTAATAACCATGCATGGTGTCCGATGGATTTTCACCTTAAATGTATACCTTTGCCCAATCAAAAAGCTGTACACCTGAAACCAAAACAATACTGGATATCAATTGTAACTGAAAAATCTTTTTTTAAAGTTGCTCAAAAATTATTCTCTTTGTTTATTATTATTGGAAACTGCATCCAAAATATCAACATACAAATTAAAAGCAGAGGCAAAATAATGATAATATAGCCACAAAATATAAAGTTTAAGAGTTTTGTTCCATTCTTCATTGCTAGCCACTCTGTAGGTTTCTATAGTTCTTTAATGGCTTGGGAATTGCACAGCAACATGCAGGAATCCTTTTCTCTGATATTCTGCTGCCCTTGACAGTTGTTGGACATGCACTCTCACTCTTTCAACTTTTCTTTTTATGCTATCTATTACATCATCTTGCTCATGAATTATCATGCACAAATCTTTTTAAAAAAAAGATACATTTTATTGATATTTCACAGAGAGAAAGGCAGGGTAATAGAGAGGTAGAAACATCGATGAGAGTGATATATCGATCAGCTGCCTCCTGTAGACCCCCCACTGCGGATGTTTCCTCAACCAATGTACATGCCCATGCCTGGAATCAAACCTGGGACCTTTCAGTCCGCATATCAACACTCTATCTACTGAGCCAAACCAGTTTTGGCGTGCACAAATCTTTTAATAGGTCCTTTATATCCATAATGTCAGCTTCAAATTACCTAACAGAAGACTCTCATGAGCAAGGCAAAGGTCATCCTCCCTAATTTCCTCATCCTGCACCTGCTCCTGAGGTGGACTTTCTTCTGAGCTTTCCTCAGGAAAACTACCAAATTCTCCAGAACTGGCTCCCACTGGAGCAGCAAACACTTTCTATTTCTCATCAGCTTGCCTCTGGACCTTCAGAAAGTTTGTCAATGTGAACTCAAAATTAACTAAGTGATCCTTCTGTATTTTCCTTTGACACTCTTCACTGGGGGTGGCGGGCAGAGATCCAAACTCTTTTCACTTTTTAATTTATCTTCATTGTTGAAAGTGTTACAGATCTTCCCCTTGTCTTCTCCCCCATTGACTCCCACCACCCTACTCCCATTTCCAGGCTTTTACCAGACCATTGTCTGTGCCCATGTGTTATGCATATATGCATATAAGTTACTCAGTTAATCTCTCCCTCCCCACCTACCTACTCCAGGCTTCCCTCTAAGATTCACACATTTAATAGAAAACATACCAAAATGCCTCAAGATCTTTAGTTACGGATACATTTTTCCATCAAATTTCAAAACACACACACAAATTGTAAATGAAAATAATGCAAGAAAATAAAAAAAAAAAATAGAAACACCATGATGCTAATAAAAATTTGAAGTCATCTAATTTGTATGTAGCGAATGACATTTACTTCAGAGGAATTTTGAAAAGATTTATTATTTAAATGACTATTTATAAGTTCTAAGATATAACCATAAGGGAAATTTTTTTCTTCTGTTCCATTATATACTAGAGGCCCAGTGCACAAAATTTGTGCACTTGGGTGGGGGGTGTCCGATTCAGCCCAGCCTGAACTCCTCATAGTCTGGGAGCCCTTGGGAGATATCCTACTGCCAACCTAGGCCCACTCCCCACACCATCCTAAGCTCTGCCCTGCCACCACCACTGCACTCACCAGCCATGAGTGCAGCTTCTGGCTGAGTGGCACTCTTCCTGTGGGATTACACTGACCACCAGAGAGCAGCTCTTGCATTGAGCACCTGCCCCCTGGTGGTCATTGCACATTATAGCAACTGGTTTCTTGGCCATTTGGTCTATTTGCATATTAGCCTTTTATTATATAGGACAAATTGATATTAAACAAACAAAATTGAAGTCATCTAGCATGGGCTAAGTTAATGTAACAAAAACGTTTCTTTGTGAAAAAAATTACATCCCAATAGAATTGCTTATTCTTTAGAATTATGGAAAGTTTCAACTGAAATGGGGCCAAGAAATTTCTCCACTAACTGCTCAGGAAATTATGCTAAACAATATTAGTTGCCAAGATGCTGACTTGTTCTACTTCCTGTTCCATCAAGGTATACATTGAAGATTTATGGGATCTCTGTCATGTGTTCATCCCTTTGCAATGTTCTAGTTGAGACTGTACATGCCCCACCCAGTACATTATACCTCGCTGAATGTTCTGAATAAATATGTTAGGTTGTGAATAAATAGATTCTAAAGACATATCTGTTAAGTATGTTTGCAGATTATTTGCTGTTATATTGCTCAACTTGTCACTTCTGATTCGGTATGCCCATGCATATCCAGACTCAGCTCTATTTCTTCCAGTTCATTTTATTTACTTTATTGATCATATGAATTTTAGAATTTGTCTTTTTGGCATGTCCTCATTAGATTAAATACATTTATAGAAAAGTCAAATTAAAATGGTTGAATTTTTCAAAACCACACATCTTATGCTTTTATTTCTTGTCAACTATCCGGTAAACACTTCTGACCACGAAGTTTTAGTGTCACAACTTGATGTGGCCATTCTGCTGGGAGGACTGTTTCTCATATAACAAAGTTACACTGTGGTCTTATTACCTCCTCCCTTGATGGTAGCAACACAGGAAGAGCTTAACACGTTCTCAGCCATGTAAGTTAGATTGTATCGTATTTGCCAAGAAGGCAAATATTTGGCTTTGGTGGTATTCTCACTTAAGAAGAATAATTTCTTAATTGAGGGGATCTCAAATGATTTAAAACCAGGCCTTTGGAAAATACAATTTTCTTTCCCTTGTAGTTTCAAGAGGTCAGATAAGTATGCACACATGAGACCCATACATGTATTTTTGTAGTCAAATTATTGTTTCTACATAATTCATTTTTGTTGTTTTAAAAAATATATATTTTATTGATTTTTTACAGAGAGGAAGAGAGAGGGATAGAGAGTTAGAAATATCAATGAGAGAGAATCATCAATCTCCTGCTGGCCTGATTGCCCACAACTGCCCTCCCTTGCAGACCTGGACCTCCCAATTGCCCTCCCCTGCTGGCCATCTTGTGGTGGCCATCTTGTGTCCACATTGAGGCAGTCATCTTTGACCACATTGGGGCAGCTATCTTGTGTGTTGGAGTGATGGTCAATTTGCCTATTACTCTTTTATTAGATAGAATAGAGGCCTGGTGCATGGGTGGGAGCCAGCTGGTTTGAAGGGTGTCCTGAAGGGTGTCCCAGATCAGGGTGGGGTTACCTTGGGGAGTAGGGAGTCTGGCGAGGGGCATGTGGTGGTTTGCAGGCCGGCCATGCCCTTCCCCCCCTCCTACCCCCCAGAGCCCAAGTGGAGGTCCTGGTATCTGGGATTTATTTATCTTTTATAATTGAAACTTTGTTGCCTTGAGTGAAGGCCTGGGCAGGCCAGGGCAGGCAGAAAGCAAGGCTTCCTCCATTGCCAGAGAAACCCAAGCCTCCCTCCTACTCTCTTTGTGGCTGCAGCCATCATGGTTGGGTTAATTTTCATACTCATTCCTGATTGGCTGGTGGGCCTGGCTTGTGTGTTTAGTGGAGGTATGGTCAATTTGAATATTACTCTTTTATTAGATAGGCTGTTTCTCCCAGAATCTATAAAATTGGATGTCAACTAGACTTAGTGTGGTGATAATTTTTCAATATATACAATTAGACACACACACACACACACACACACACACACACACACACCCTTGATCAGAGAAGGAACTACCTGTTTATTGTGAAAAATGTAGACATGTTCTGCTTTTCACAGGGTTGGGATGGGCTAGAAGGAGTGAATGGGGGCAAAAAGTGATTATATGTAATACTTTCAACAATAAAGTTTTAAAAATAAATAAATAAATAAATCACTTTGGCTTCAGGATTTTCTCAAAGACTGCTAATATCTTGAAGTTAAGAATGATGTTGCCATTTACTACATTGCTCACAGTGGCCAATACATAAAAACATAAAAATGTCCTTTGATAGATGATTGGATAAAGAAATATGCATAATAGAATACTACTCAGCCATAAGACAAGACTAAGTACTGCCATTTGGAACAACATAGATGGACTTTGAGGATATTATACTAAGTGAAATAATCAGTCAGAAAAAGCTAATAGCCACATGATTTCACTCGTATGTAGGATATAAAAGTGAAACTCATAGACACAGACAACAGGGCTGGGGGTTAATAAAGGTTTATGGTGATGGAAGATTATTTGACTTGGGATGGTGGGCACACAATGCAACACACAGATCATGTATCATAGAAATGTCCACTTGAAATTTATATAATTTTATTAACCAATGTCACCTCAATAAATTGAATTTAAAATAAATAGTAAAAAAGCACTTACTCTCAAACACCAATGATGTTTATATAGATCAGAGATTTTCAGCCAGTGTGTCTCAGCATCCATATTGGCATGTTGCAAGGATTTTTTAAACATGCAATATCTATTTACTCAGGGGCACTGACCTCTTTTCCTTTATATTGTCAAAAAATAAAAAAATAAATAAATAAATAAATAAATAACAGCCAACACAATAACCTTCCTATGTGAATGAATCAAATTATATCTATTTTTTTCAGATTGGCAATTTTTATATAATTGTGCTATGGAATTTTAGTAATTAGTCTGTATGTGCTGTGAGATGGAGAAAGGTTGAAAATCGCTGATATAGATCCTAGCACATATGCTAAAGATTGTTTTTATCATGAAAAGGTGTTGAATTATAGTGAATGTGCTTTCCATCTTGATATATGCAAATTTTTTCCACTTTTAATCTACTCTTTATAGAAAGTTACATTTAATAGTTTTTCTTTCAATGAAGAAATAAACTCACTTTGATCATCTATATTGGGTTTATATTCACGGATTTGATTTGGTATTGTTTTGGGATGTTGTAATAATTTTAATAAATGAGATTGGCTTTCCTTTTTTTTCTGAACATATTCTCATCCTGAGTATCAAGATAATTTTAATTTTAGTGAAAAAAAAAATAACAACTATTCATTTTCCCCCTACTGATTGAAAGAGTTTGTGTAATGATCTCTTTCTTGAAAATTCATTATTTCTCTCTTGTGGATATATTATATTATTTGCCTTTTGTGTTTTCCATAAGCAAAATTTTTATGTAACCTACTGATTGCATAACAATTATTCTAGCTTTATCAAACATTGCAGAATCAACTTGTGCCTGTGTTAATTTTATCTCACACATATTGTAAAAGTAAATATAGTCTATTTATTCTATTAGCTGAAGTTGATTGCCTAAAATTATCTCAATGATTAAATAAAGTGTGGATTCACTGATTTAAATTTTGTTTTCATGAGTACGTGTTTAGTGAGAGTTAATTTGAGTGACAAATTTTTTAGTTGTTTCCCTCAGTTTTCTTCTTCAAAGTGACCTATATGTATTATTATTATAACATTCAAAAGAAGTTCCAATTATTTTATAAACTTTTTATTTCAGAATAGTTTACATTTACAAAAAAAAGTATAAAAGTAGTACAAAAAGTTCTCATATAACCTATATACTCAGATTCCCTTATTTATTGTTATATTAGTATGGTACATTTGTCACAGTGAACTGATGATGTTGATGCACTATTATTAAATAAAAAATTACTTTATTCAGATTTTCTTAGTTTTTACCTAATGTTATTTTTCTGTCCATTATCTCATTCATTACATTTAGTCATTGTATTTCTTTAGGCTCCTTTATCTGTGACCGTTTCCTTATCATTTAATAAGGTAGCACAAATTAGGAGTAGCTAAAAATCAGAACATTCAGACATTGATTATGTTCTTATTCTGCATAAGATTTGGTGGTATGGATTTGAATAATAATGAGAAGTAATATCATAAGTGATGTTCACAAGAAAAAATCATAAAAGGGACAAAAATTGATCTGTAGCACCAACCAATATAAAAAAATGAAATAATAATGGCCACAACTGACCATATGGCTAAGCATATGATTTATCATAGAATTTTTATTTTGTATACATTTTATATTTTCATTGTTAGATCATGTATGGATACATATGTAGACATCTATACTAACAAAAGTCTAGGTGGTCCTTCTGCCCTCACGTGCAATGTCATCACAAGATGGCCACCACAAGATGACTGTGTGCTCAGAGGAGGCAAGGCCTAGCAGTCACTCCATGTGGTGAGGCCTGGGGGTCCCATGGCTCTATGCAACTTGGAAGAGGCCGGTTCCGGTGTCACTGCCACCTCACAGGGAGGAGGCAGGTTCTGGCAGAGGAGGTGGGTTGCAGCAGGGGAGGGCAGTTGTGGGAATTGAGCTAGCAGGGGAGGGCAGTTGTGGGAAATTGAGCCAGCAGGGGAGGGCAGTTGTGGGTGATCAGGCCAGCAGGGGATGGCAGTTGTGGGTGATCTGGCTGGCAGGGAAGCAGTTAGATGTCATCAGGCCTACAGGGGAATGGTTAGGGGGTGATAAGGCTGGCAGGCAGAAGCAGTTAGTGGCAATCAGACAGGCAAGCAGGCGAGTATTAGGAGCCAGGGGTCCCAGATTGTGAGAGGGATGTCCAACTGCCGGTTTATGCCCAATCTTGATGGGTCCCAGATTGGAGAAGGTGCAGGCCGGGCTGAGGGACAACCCCTGTGCATGAATTTCTTGCAACAGGCCTCCAGTGTATATATATATATATATATATATATATTATTCAATGATATATAAGTATGATACAGTTTTTTAAAGAATCAATATATATATATATACACTAGAGGCCTTTGTGATTGTGCATATATATGTTTATATACATAAAAACTATCTATAATTCCAATTTACATGATACAGCATATTTGATTTCACTCACACTTATGTGCACAGGGTGATTAAAAAGTTTAATTTTTTTCTCTGTTTTCTTTCACAGTTATTTACCACCATTTTTTTATAACTTTTTATTTTGATTCATAAAGAGATTATGTAATCTTACCAACTTTCTCAAAACCTTGGGACACTTTTTATCACTTTTTAATCAACATTTCAAAGTCATAAAATGCTGTTAAGACCTATTTTTTTCACCAATTAGAAATATTTTCTGTGTAGTGAAGATTTGTGCTTTTTTTTTTTTTTTTTCAACAGGAAAATGAGGTTAGAATAACGTCACTTTTTTTTTTTTTTTTTTTTTAGGAGATCAAAGTTGACTGAACATCTCTTGTTTCATTTCTTAACTGGGAACTCAGGACATTGCACCACTTTCAATTTTTCACAAGAAGCAGGACGATCCTTCTCTGATCAGGTGTGTGTGTGTGTGTGTGTGTGTGTGTGTGTGTGTGTATGTGTTTCTAATACTATTATTCAAAAAATGAGAAACTCTTGAGGTTTAAACCTCAAGAAAATATTTCCAAAAATAATTACACAACAAAGTAATTCTAATTGTTTCTTAGGTATTAAAATAGGATTACTGAAGACAAGGAAGGCTATTACTTCCAAAGAGTGCCTTTTCTCACTTTATTAAATGATAGATAAGTAGGATACATTTTTTAAAGAATCAAAAGTTAAGATGAGCCTTTTCTCTAAGCAAAACCAGGAGAATGACTCTTTATATTTGGAAGTAAAAAAACGAATTTCAATTTGAATTCTCATCTTTATGAGTTTTGTGCTCTTATGCAAGGCACTCATCTTACATGATAGACAACTTTACTTACAAAGTAAAATAAAATTATATCTGTTGCTTTCAACTATCATATTTAAATATTAAACTAGTTTTATTTTTAAAATACAAGCACTATGCATATTTATTAAATAGCAGTCTTTTTTTCTGAGTTCTTCTATCTAGACACTGGCAAATTTACTATTTGAACAAAGGTGAGATTACTTTTGTTAATGATAATGCTGATAATAACTTGTTATAAATAAGGAGAAGGATGATAGGAACAGAAGTTGAATTAATATGTACTAAGAAAAACATTCAACAAAAATTCATTTATGTACCTTACCCAAATTTGCCTTGCAAAGAAAGCAATTATCACCAAATAAAATAAAATTGTAAATAAAAAACTATCATTCAATATCAATGATGGGAACATTTTTTAATTAAGTATCTTAAAGTAGGTAAATTTAAATGAACTCATTTTTTTTACACTTTAAAAATAATTGTTTATTATTTTATAACAAAAATAAATTTAGAAGTAATTTTACATTGCTTGATATGAATCCTCATTTTTATTCTTCCCTTTTTTTATATATATATACTAGAGGCCCGATGCACAAAATTTGTGCAAGGGGCTCAGCCCTCACAGCCATGGTGGCTTGATTCAACCCTCACAGCCCTGGCTTCATCCGGCAGGTTGTCTGAAAAGACACTTGGAAGGTCGTTCGGCTGTCCGGTCTAATTCTTACGTTTTTATTATTATAGATGCCTGGGAGAAATTTTTCTGTATTCTCACTTCTCCAATCAACATAGATGATCATTACACAGAAAGGAAGCAAAAATCATTTTTTTTCTTCTTTATTGATTAAGGTGTTACATATGTGTCCTTATCTCCCCATTGCCTCCTCACCCACCCCACCCCCATTCATGCCCTCACCTCCCTGGTGTCTGTGTCCATTGGTTAGGCTTATATGCATGCATACAGGTCCTTTGGTTGATCTCTCTCCCTTACCCCCACCCTCCCCTACCTTCCCTCTGATGTTTGACGGTCTGATCGATGCTTCTGTCTCTGGATCTGTTTTTGTTCAGCAGTTTATGTTGTTCATTATATTCCACAACTGAGTGAGATCATGTGTATTTATCTTCCTCTAAATGGCTTATTTCAGAAAGCAGTTTAATAAAGGTGTGATTTCATTTTATTCAGGAACGTTTGTAAATGAAGACTTTGGATTCGTCTCTGTGGTAGATAAACAGTCATAAGTAGGTGATGGGGCTGGTCCGAGATCGGTGGGCTCCACACAGCGCGGGTATGTACTTTCCACATAAATATGTAGTGTGGCCTGCGTATAATTTCAATCCACCCACAATTCGATACAAGCCTGTAATGTATAGAATTGCATTTTATTTGTAAAAGGCTTTTACATATTTTGCCAAAACCGGTTTGGCTCAATGGATAGAGCGTTAGCTTGGGGACTGAGAGGTCCCAGGTTCGATTCCGGTCAGGGGCATGTACCTTGGTTGAGGGCATGTCCCCAGTGGGGGCTGTGCAAGAGGCAGCTGATCGATGACTCTCTCTCATCGATGTTTCTAACTCTCTATCTCTCTCCCTTCCTCTCTGTACAAAATCAATAAAATATATTTTTTTTAAAAAAGGCTTTTACATATTTAGAAAGTTTGACTACTTTAAGAGTTACCTTTTTTTACTCAGAAGCAAGATTCTTTGTCACTATCCTAAAGCTTTAGATTGTACTATTTTATTCTTTGTATATCCTTCTCTATGAGTAAAATTAGACACACTAGCCTGTATTGTGGTTGACATTATTGATACTACTGTATTTTCCGCTTATAAGACGACCCCCTAATTTTACAGTTAAAACATAGGTTTAGGCCTATATTTGCTGTATAAGACTACCCCCCACTTCAAAGAAAAGACTTACTTTGCCGTCAAGATCTGCAGGTAATTGTTGTGCAATTTTGGTCGTTTGCCCCCAATTTTTGGTTGACTTTTTTTCGTTTCAAAAGTCGTCTTATACGCCGGAAAATAAGGGTAAGTGCTCATTATTTTATTTCACTTTTGAAAACAGCCATGCCAGGTTATACTGATATTCTTTGTTCCTTCTTCTTTTTTAAAAAAAATATATTTTATTGTTTTTACAGAGAGGAAGAGAGAGGGATAGAGAGTTAGAAACATCGATGAGAGTCATCAATCAGCTGCCTCTTGCACACCCCCTACTGGGGATATGCCCGCAACCAAAGTACATGCCCTTGACTGGAATCAAACCCGGGACCTTTCAGTCCCCCAGCTGACGCTCTATCCATTGAGCCAAACCGGTTTCGGCTGTTCCTTCTTTCCTTTCTTTCATTTTTGTTCAATTTATGAAGTTATTAACTTAGTAAATGGCCTTTGTAAAGCAATCATGTATAACTCCCTAAGTAAGGCATTATCCTTTTCAAAATACTGTGTCCTTATTTGAATGTTAGATTTTATTACACATAAAGAACTAACTAGTTTTAATAGCACATAGGATCTTCTTAAAGATATTTTGCTATTGAATAAATACAATCTTATTTATACTACAAAGTGTAAAAAATCATAATAATGAACTAACATAAAATGAAACTAACTTGATGTTATCCTTCAAAAGGAAATGGCAAAGTAAGCTTGAAAAATTTATAACCCAAGTGACAGAAAGGCCATGACTCACACTGGCTTAAATTGTCTTTCTCCAGAGACGGATGAATCCCATAGTTATAAATTTAAACGTGTAAATAATGCTGTTTCTACACCATGGCAAAAGAGAAGATCTATATTGACCACAAATACATGCGGAGAAAACCGTAAGTAAGATGTTCCATTCGCTGTCTTGAGGTGAAAACGGGGAACTCTGTGATTATCAGTGCTAAGCACTGAGTTCATTTTACCATTATGACAAAAGCAGAAATGAGATTAATTCTAATACAACATTGGGATATATAATAAAATGAGCAGAAACTATTGAGTTTAGGTGTTTTTCATGCCTTAAAAACTATCAGATTATCATAACAATGACAACTGAGACAGCAATTTCTAAGGGATCACTGAACATCTAGCTGTAAGGAAGAGTAAATAGAAATGGAAAACAGAAAAGAAATACAAAATATTCTTCAGTAGTATACTTTTAAATAATATTGCAGCAAAGATTTCTGTGTGGTGAAGAATATATGCTCTCTCTCCTTCATCAAGGCAGAGTATGATTGAAAATGAAGCCTGAAACAGTTTACACATAAAGGAAACCAACAGACTAATCTCACTTATCAATTTAAATTGAATCAGGGGTGGGGAATGTCCAGCCCACAGGCTACATAAGGCCCGAGAAATCATTTGGTCTGGCCCTGCCAAGGCATTAGGGCTGAGTTAACTAGATGTTTGACCAAATATAGCAGGTTAAGTTTTAAGTTGATAATTTTGTATGGCCCCCAAATGATGTTATAAATATCCCAGTGGCCCTTGGCAGAAAAAAAGGTTCCTACCCTGAATTAAATGCTAAAAAAAATAAATTATTAGCAAATAGCAACACTTTCAAGAGTTAATTATAGGAATGAAAATGTGCTGTATGTAATAATCAAAGATTATAGATCATGTGCAAAATGTTGAAAAGGTTTTGAGTAAAAAAAAATCAATATGAATGATTATTATTTTTTTTTATTTAATATATTTTATTGATTTTTTACAGAGAGGAAGGGAGAGGGATAGAGTTAGAAACATCGATGAGAAAGAAACATCGACCAGCTGCCTCCTGCACACCCCCTACTGGGGATGTGTCCGCAACCAAGGTACATGCCCTTGACCGGAATAGAACCTGGGACCTTTCAGTCCGCAGGCCGATGCTCTATCCACTGAGCCAAACCGGTTTCCGCTGAATTATTTTTTAAATTAGTTTTAAGAGAGAAAGGGAGTGGGGAAGAGAGAAACATCGATGTGAGAGGGAAACATTGATAGGTTGCCTCCTACCTGCCCCCTAGTGGAGATCCAGCCTGAAACCCGGGCATGAGCCCTGACCAGCAAAACACCTGCAACCTTTTGGTGCACAGGGTGAAGTCCACCCAACTGAGCCACACCAGCCGGGGCTCAATATGAATTCTTAATTCAAAAGAACTTAACTTTTAAAACCACTAAAATATAAGCCCTACTTTAAGGTCTATGTTCAAAAGCTATCATTATACTTACCGATAAATGTTAATAGCATTTTCATTATAGCTAGAAAAAGGCAATGGTTTTTATTGTTATTATTGATTAATATTGATTGCTTTGTTGGTGCTAGCCAACATACACAACCAAGAAAAGAAAAAAAAAAACAAATAACCTGAAAATAGAATAAAAGGCAAAATTAATATTAATAGCAAAAAAATATATGATTTTAAATATCTTAAGAAATCTTAAAAGTTCATGCCAAAAAATTACAATCAGTAAGGAAATCTGATGTGTGGACTTATTTAAAAATAATAGGTAAAAATTAACTGTCTATTAAACTACAAAAGCCAGGAAAATGTGATAGAAAGGAAAATGCCATACCTAGAAGACCAAAAATCAGAAATAAACTATAATGAAAAATACTGGAAATAAATTTATTACTTTAAAGTTGTACTAATGAACATAAAACAAGATACATATAATGAAAAAAGACACTATTCAAGGATAAAAGACAGTTAAAGATGTAAGTTATCTTTCTATATTTATACATTTAATATGATTCTGTTGAAATATATATTTAAGATTCATTTCAGAGAGAGAGAGAAAGAGAGAGAGAGAGTGAGAGAGAGAGAGAGAGAGAGGAGAAAGACATTGATGTGCTACTAGAAACAGCTATCAGTTGCCTCCCATAGGCACCCAACTGATATCAACACGAAACCATTTTGATGTATAGAACAATGTTCAACCAACTGAGCCACCGATCAGGCTAACGCACTATAGTTTAACACAGTAGGTTCTTGAAAAACTCACTTTAAGGTTTTTAAGGCATAATGAAGTGTAATGATTGATAATATATTTTTTAAAAAGAAATGTAATATAATATTGTGGACACTATAAGTACTCAAGTATATTATTAAAGAGGGATATTTTATATGTAGTTTGAGTGCAAAGACAGATTAGAGAATGTAGCAAAAAATGTAAACACATAAGAATATATTATATGTTAAAGGTAATATTTTAAATCATCAAGAATACATTGATTTATTCACTAACTAGGGTTAGAAAAATTCAGTAACCATTTGAAAAAGAAAAATTTTTATAAATTTGAGTTTCTACCTCATTTATTACACACACATAAACACACAAATATGCACACCAAATAGATCGAATTAAAAAAGGAAACTATATAACTCATGATGGGAGCTTCACTTTATAAACTCAAAATAATGAAAGTGTTTTTATTAATATCAAAAAAGAATAATGCACAATTCACCATAGCTAATATTTGGAAACAGCCTAAGTGCCCATCATCAGGTGACTGGATTAACTATGGTACAACACGATGGAATACTGTGATACGATAAGAAAAGAAGGAGTCCTTACCATTTGCAACAACATAGATGGAGCTAGAGAGCATTATAGTAAGTGAAATAAGCCAGGCAGAGAAAGATAAATATCACTCATTTGGTGGAATATAATGAACAACATAAACTGATGAACAAAAACAGATTCAGATGCAGAGAAATATCAATCTGAATGTCAAACCTTAGGGAAAGTAGGGGACGGTGGGGGTAAGGGAAAGAGATAAACCAAAGAACTCATATGCATGCATATAAGCCTAATCAATGGACACAGATAACTGGGAGAAAAGGGCATGCATTGGAGGGGGAGAGGGAGGGGGATAAAGAAGGAATAAGAACACATATGTAATACTTTAATCAATAAAGAAATAAAAAAATGAATAATGGTGTAAGCAAGTCAACTATTATTCATTTAAGCACCCCTAAATATGATAAAGTTAAAACAAAAATGAAATTTAAGATGAATGTTGCAAAACATATGGCAAGAAACAAACTAATATTCTCAACTTAAAAAGGGAGAAAAAAGTTACTTCATACAAATAAGCACATGACAACTGTAATACAAAATGTTTAATCTTTTGTTGTCTTTTTATTTATACCAAGAAAAATGAAGTTGTAAAATTTTAAATAATATTGATTAGATTTATATATTTAAAAATCTGAATAATACTTAATGCAAAAGAAAGAGTGAGCAAAAGGCTTTTAAATCTGTATTTGTTACTACATAATTTGATAGAGACTCTTTGGACTGAAATTTTCAATTTTTACAAAAATTTAAAAAGGAAATGTTCTTTGACTCAGTAATAATTCTTATGAAATTTTTCTCAAGAGGTATTAAAACAGGTGCACAGGTGTGTATGAAATGTTAAGTATATAATTATTGCTTAGTGAAAACTAAGAAACAATTTAAATATGCATTGGAAAAAATTCAAAGTCTATCAATAATAAGATATTAGTTGATCCTATATAATAAAGGGGTAATATGCAAATTGACCGTCACATCCTCGCACAAGATGGCTGCCCCTATATGATCATAAGATGGCTGTACCCATTTTATCACAAGATGGCCACCACAAGATGGCTAGCAGGGAAGGGCAGTTGTGGGTGATCTGGCCAGCAGGGGAGGGCTGTTGGGGGCAAACAGGCCAGCAGGGGAGAGCAGTTGGGGGGGTACCACGCTTGCAGGGGAGGGTAGTCAGCGGAAATCAGGCTGACAGGGAGGGTAGTTGGGGGCAACCAGGCCTACAGCGTAGGGCAATTGAGGGTGAACAGGCCAATAGGGGAGGGTTTTTTTTGTTTGTTTGTTTGTTTTTGGTGGGGGAGCTCAGCAGGGAAGGGCAGTTGGGATGATAGGGATGGCAGGGAAGAAGTTAGATATTGATCAGGCTGGCAAGGGAGAGGTTAGGGGGTGATCAGGATGGCAGGCAGGTGAGTGGTTAGGAGGCAGCAGTCCAGGATTGTGAAAGGGAGGTCCTGTGGGATCAGGCCTAAAACAGCAGTTGGGCATTGCCCAAGGGGTCCCAGATTGGACAGGGTACAGTCTGGGCTGTGGGGAACCACCCCACCCCCCCTCCACCAGTGCATAAATTTTGTGCACCGGGTCTCTAGTATACCAATAAAACACAACGCAAGCAATTATTTATGAAATTTTGACAACTTCTTAAGACATGATTAGAATAATCACTAGGACATTTTCTTAAGTAAAAATGATCCTAAAATATTTTGTATAGTTTCTTGAATATATTTTTTTAAAAGGGGGTTTAGGGAAACTGTTCACTTTTCTCACAGCTATGGAAAATGCATTCTGTCTTCTGGCAAAATTTCAACTTAAACAGCAAACATATAATACCTGCAAGTTTTGTGCTTTCTTTTTCAATATAGAGGGATTTGGGATTGGTATCTCAGAAATTTTTTAAAAAAATGGAAATTTAACTATGAGTTCTTCTGGGGAACTTTTAAAGAGAAATGGGAGAAAATAGTAGATTTTACAGTTTTATTTTTAATAATTTACAAAATATTTATTTTACCTGTACTGTGAAAATATATGAGGAAAAAAACACTACTATCACTCCCACATAGAAAACAATCTAACGTCTATATTGAACACAAAAATACCAGAACCCTTTATGCTTTCTCTTTTTTTTTTTTCTTATCAGCATCTGCATTTTTCCTTACCTGGTGCATTGCTATAGCTCTTGGAATCCGTTTTATTGTGATGATAACAATATGGAGTGCCATCATCATAAATTGTAAGTGATAACAGAGACATAGATAGCATTGCTGATCTAACAATTGTAATACATTACTTGGATTAATGTTTAGCAGGACAGAAACATAAACCATAGCAACATTTAATGTGCCTTTATATATTAGCCACTAGTCTAGAAACTCGTCAATTATTTTTTAGTTTTGCTTGAACTATACATGACTCTCTAATAATTGTGATTATTTCCATAGCATTATTCAACCAAGCAGACCCAATCTCCTTGAATGGTAAGAGAAAGTTTTTTTAAAAAAATATATATTTTGAATCACAAATTGTATGTATCTGTGTATACTGGGGTTTAGGCATGTATCCAATTCTTATCAGAGGAAAGTTTCTAAGACAGATCATGTATTACTGAAGTCCATAATTGAAACCTATATAATCTTATTAACCAATCTCATCCCAATATATCTATAATAAAAAGAAAGTATAAAGGAAAATGAATTCTCACACACAATTCACTATAGCTTTTTAAATTTTATTTTGTTTTTACAATGGAGTAATTGTAAAACGTGGAAAACGTAGTTCAGTTTGGGCATATCTGTCTATAAACATGTAGAGGTATGTCATTGGGTATGATCACTCTGGCCTAATATTTGGAATGTTAGAGTTAGAATAAAAAAAAGGTATTTATCCTGCCTCGAAAAGAAAAATCTGATATAATGTTCAGACAAGTGCAGAATTAATAATATATTCTCCCTTTCTAGAAAGTTACTGTGGCCCATGTCCTAAAAACTGGCTATGTTATAAAGAGAACTGCTACTATTTTTTTAATGAGAGCAAAAACTGGTTTCAGAGCCAAGCTTCCTGCATGTCTCAAAATTCCAGTCTCCTGAAGATATACAGCAAAGAGGACCAGGTGAAGTATTGTTTTAATCCATCTGCCTATAGTGAGCCCTACCAAATGTGGCAACTCTATGGAATATGAACCTGACATAAAATAGAGACACTGGATTCTGATATACCAACCCCAAATTTTTCTGTATTAAAAATAAGAATGCACAAAAATTGCAGGTATTATATAATATATGTGTTTTTGAAGTTGGAATTCTGAAAGAGAACAGAATGCCCTTTCTTCAACTGTGGGGAAAACGATTAAATGATTATAGCCTTCTACTTACTAACATTCTGAGAACTGTATTTGTGATTTCAAACAGGATTTCTTTAAATTGGTCAAGTCCTATCATTGGATGGGACTAAAAAAGAATTCAACAAACGGAATCTGGCAGTGGGAAGATGGCTCCATTCTCCCTGATGATCTGTAAGTCTGTACCTACAGGTCTCTAGTTGTGGATCTGCCTCTAAGCTACTCCTATGATCACTGAACTATCACATTTTCCTTCACACAATGCCAGGATATCCCATATGCTAATAGAGTCAGTCCAAATCTCTTAGGGCCTAGATTTAGTACTTTGGGAAGGGGCCATTACCCATAAGAATGAGTAAGCTTAATTGTTTGCTATGTGCTAAATACTGTGCAAGCTACTTGCTATGAACATATGTGTGCAAGACTTTGTATGAACATAGGCTCTCCTTTTTCTTACATTAATACCTAGGAGAGAAACAGATGGATCTATAATAAATATACATTTAACTATTTAAGAGCCTGCCAGACTATTATCCAAAAGGCTTGTGAATTTTGCAATCCCACTAGCAGTGTGTGAAACTTGAGAGTTGCTCAACATCTTGGTCAATATTGTTACAATCAATTTCTTAAATATTATCCATTCTCACATGTAGAGTGGTGTCTCATTGTGGTTTGAATTTGCGTTTTCCTAATGACTAATAATATTGAGCATTTTTCCTGTGCCTATTTAACATTCATCTTTCAATATTTTTATTTAATTGACTAGAGGCCCGGTTCACAAAATTCATGCATAGGGGGGAAGGGATGTCCCTCAGCCCAGTTTGCATCCTCTCCAATTTGGAACATTCCTCTCACAATCCGGGACTGCTGGTTCCAAACAGCTTGCTTACCTGCCTGCTTGATGGCCCCTAACCACTTATTCCTGACAACCTGATCACCCTCTAACCACTCCCCTGCCAGCCTGATAGATGTCTAACTGTTCCCCTACTGGCCTGATCATCCCCAACTCCCCTCCCCTTCCAGCCTGGTTGCCCCAAACTGCCCTCCCCTGATAACCTGATCACCCCTAACTATCCTCCCCTGCTGGCCTGGCTGCCCCTAACTGCTCTCCCCTGCTGGTCTGGTTGCCCCTAACTGCCCTCCTCTGTCAGTCTTCTTGTGGTGACCATCTTGTGACCACAGGGGGATGGCTATTTTGTGTGAATGTGTGATGGTTAATTTGCTTATTACCTCTTTGTTATATGGATTTCTGCTCTGATCTTTATTATTTTCTCACTCAGTTAACTTTTCTTTCTCTAGTTTCTTATCACAAAAACTAATATATGGATATGAAACTTTTCCTCTTTTCCAATCAAAGCATCCATGCTATTAATATTTGTGTTGATTTGGCAGCATTCCCACATTTATAAGATATTTATTTTCATTTTCAGTCATTCCAAAATAGTTTCCAAATTTCCTTTTACATTGTTCTTTGATGCATAAAATTTTCAGGTGTTAGTTTATAACAATTGAGAATTTCCCAGAGATATTTTTGTTATCAATTTTCTAATTCCATTCTGATCAAGAAACATACTTTATGACTTGAATCTACTTGCACTTATTGATATTGTTTTTTATGGATTAGAATATGGTCTATCTTCTTTAAGGTTGACTCTATTACAGATGTCCCCAGTTTTTTTCCCTTTTCCTTCCTTCACCCTGTCCCATCCCACCTAGGCCTTCATCACATTGTTTTCCATGTCCATGGGTTGTGCCTATCTATACTAATAAAAGTGTAATATGCTAATTAGACTGGACAGCCAAATGATCTTCAGGACATCATTCTGGACATCCTTTGGACTAAGCCGATGTGGCAGGAGCTGAAGCAGAGGTGGTTATGGGCAATCAGGCAGGCACAGGAGCAGTTAGGGACATCAGATAGGCAGATGCAGGCAGTGAGGGGCGATCAGGCAGGAAGGCAAGTGGTTGTTGGCAATCAGGCAGGCAGGTGCATGGTTAGGGGTTATCAGGCAGGCATGCAGAGGTGTTGGGGTGATCAGGCAGGCCGGCAGCCCAGCCATTAGGAGCCAGCTGTCACAGATTGCAAGAGGGTGCAGGAGGGGCTGAGGAACCCCCTCCCAGCCCTGTGCATGAATTTTGTGCACCAGGACTCTAGTATGTGTGTGTATATATATATATATATATATATATATATATATATATATATTTCGGTTGATCTCTTCCCAATCTCCCAACCTTCCTCCCTTCTGAGACCTTTCAGTCTGCTCCATTTATCCATGCCTCTGGTCCTATTTCTGAAATTTTGTATGTGTCCCTGTTTAACTTAGAATTGATCTATATGGATGAGATGTCACTTTTGACAAAAAAGAGTTTGTTGTCTGGGAATACTAAGAAGATTTTGTATCATCTTATGTCACTTTATCCACTCTACAAGTATAAAAGTTCAGTTTGTAAACAAAACAACTGGCCTACTAAACTTCTGTTTATGAATGTAAAAATACTGATTGAGTGCTACTCCATTTCCATAAACTATGCAGAGATAACTACAGAGATGAATAGACCATAACTCCTTTAAAAGCTTCATACTTTAGAAATATATTTGGAAACGAATTATTATAGCAAAACCCATGTAACCCATATTCTGGCAGCAATGTGATGACAATGGCATAGGAAAACAAACACAGAAATTAAAGAAACACACGAAAAGAGTTAGGTTAGAAAGAATGAGCTTCTAATGTACAATACATAGATTGAGATCAACTAAGAGCTGTTACCAAATATATCTTAACTTTTTTTTCTTATAGTGGCTAGTTGTTTCTGTGTAGACAGAAATAATGACCTCTTTCTTTAAAATATGTATATATATTATCAGGTCACGGTCCTTTATTGGTGTCAATTTCATATGGAAGTAGAATCATCATTCTTTCCTCAACCTTATCATTCCTACCTGTTTCTGGCAGAAAACAAATCACCATGTATTACATTAATTATATAACTACAAAATACTCAAATCATTGAGTAAAATAGGTGCACACTTATAATTATGCCTAACCACACATGTGCGTGCACACACACACAAACAAGACACACACCCTTATGTATGTTTGTATATACTGGAGGATTTTATAATAAAAATTTTATAATTTTAAAATTTAAAAAAAATAAATTTTTAAAAGTAAAATTGCATATATCTGAAGAATATTGTACATTTTTCACAAAACAGGACATGGAATTCTGAATTTATTTCCAACCAAATGTTTCTTTAAAAACATTTTAAAGCTTGTATTTTACACTAGGGGCCCTGTGCATAAATTGGGGTCTCTCGGCCTGTCCTATAGGATAGGGCTGAAACCAGCTCTCCACCATCTCCCAAAGCCTCCTGGATTGTGAGAGGATACAGGCTGAGGGATCCCAACATGCTTAATAAAGGCTGGGGAGGGAAACGGAAAGTTGGCCAGCTGGGGAGGGACGATAGGAAGACTCCAGGTTATGTCTGGCCCATCTTCCTTAGTCCCAATTGGCTGGGCAGCAGAAGCATGCTAACCTACCTGTTAGAGCATCTGTCCCTGATGATCAGTGCACACCATAGCAAGTGATTGAGTGGCCTTAGCATATCATTAGCATATTACACTTTGATTGGCTGAAAGGCTGACCAGAAAGCCAGACACTTAGCATATTAGGCTTTTATTGTATAGGATAGATACACATATAAAGAGATTCCAGATTTTCTACATTGGCTAATTTCTGATGTATAAAAATAGTAGCACCTAATTTATAATAGAATGCAATTTTCTCTTTTATCACCTGAGTTGGCTATGTTTCACTTATCTATAAATTAAAAATCCAGGCATGGTCAATAAATGATATTATTTCAGCACCTATATTTAAGTAAATTGTATTTCATTTTTATATTTCTGCATAATATAGTCATACATGTACTTTGTTTCCCTCTCTAATCTAGACTAACAATGGTTGACATGGCAAACGGAACCTGTGCAGTTTATGGTTCAAGTTTTAAAGGTTACACAGAAAACTGTCTAAGTCCATACACATACATCTGTATGCAGCCAACTGTGTGAAGAATTGGCTATTTATAAAACATAAAGGATTTCAAAATAAAAACTCCATTCTCTGACTTTCTTCAAGAATAAAACTTCCAGAGGAAAATGCCACAAATATTTATTAAGTATTTTTTCATCTGACATGCCACAAACCATATCCTTGCAGCAAATAAAAATGAACAATTAAGTAATGTATCTTCTGTACCAATGTTTCATTTTATTTATAAATTATTGAATGATGAACAAACTCACTTTTAAGTTTAATAAACTGCTGATAATACTTATGGTAGAACTAGATAGTAATCCATGATTTTCTAAATATTTACACATATTAAACTAATAATGCTTTTAGAACAATCAAAACACAATACATTTGAAAATTAAATATACTTAAAGTTGGATGAAGTGTATATGCAGGTTTATTAAATTTGTCATTTTTGAAATATTTCTTAAAGTTAAAAATAATCCTTGAAAAGTTTCAATGTTTCCTCTTCTTTCTCTTTTTGTTAATTAAATTTATTGGGGTGACAGAGTAATATAATTATATAGGATACAAGCACACAATTCTATGATACATCATCGATATATTGTATTATGTGCCCACCACCCAACGTCAAATCTTCTTCCATTACACACTTCACCCCCTTTACCCTTTGCTGCCCTCCACCCTCTTCCTTCTGGTAATCACCACACTGTTCTCTGCAGCTATGTGATTTTGTTGCTTTTCAGGTTTGTTCATTTGTTGCTTTCAGTTTTATATCTCGCATGTGAGAGATTCAGTCTCCAAATGTTGTCTTCTTACATATACAATGACCAAGGTCTTCGCAATTATCATCCAATAACTGACCATTTTGAATATATTTGCAATGATTAGAGGCAATGTCAGGTTTTGCTAACTGGATCCTAGAGGAGAAAAGAATTTCTATTTTTACTAAAATTTATTTCATAGATTAATCCTATTCTTAAAGGTTACTATGCATTAATTGAAATATAAAGGAACATACATTTCTTTGGCAGATTTTTAAAGATGTAAATAATAAATAAGAATTGTTTCATTCAACTCCTAAGGAAGGAAAATGGCAGAGCAAGGACCTTCAAAACACTGGTCCATTAATGCAATGATAAAGCTGACTATAACTGACTCAAAATTTTCAGAGATCTGGAACCTAATAAAGACATGACAACAAGCAAGTGCTTGTTTAATGAAGAGAAAAGCTGCTATCTTTGGGTAGGAGAGCATTTGCTTCATTCAAAGTAAATGAACCCAGGTCAGTGTTGCTCAGTTGGTTAGAGTGTTGTCCCTTACATCAAAACTTGGCAATTTCCACTCCTGGTCAGGGCCTATACCAGGTTGTACTCTCTCTCTCTCTCTCTCTCTCTCTCTCTCTCTCTCTCTCTCTCTCTCTCTCTCTCTCTCTCTCTCTCTCTCTCTCTCTCTCTCTCTCTCTCTCTCTCTCTGTCTCTCTCCTCTGTGAGGATTTTAAAAACAAGTAAATGAAGGAGAAATGCTAAAATTATTTTTAGTCCTGATTATTATGTCCAGGTACTTGATAAAATAGAATCTTTTATATTTATCTTAATAACATGGTAGGATGAGAACAGTTTTCAAATTTTGTGTCAGAACTGTTTTCAACTATCAAAAGTTATTTCAGAGACTCCAAGAAATTTTATTATTTGAGATATACCTATCCAAATTTGTCACTTTTAAAATTAATTCTGTTATAGTAAAAAAGATTAACTCATTTATTTGTAACAATACTAAATACAGATACATTTTTTGTTAATATAAAAGTGATTATATTCCTTCCCAAAGTAGTGCCAACATTGTCATGTTTTTGTTTTATATTTTGCAAATTTTTAATTGTCTAGCATAATTGACAAGTGTTTTCTTATATTTGCTTCAGTGTTGAATCTCCTTTGATATATTTTGTTATAATGTTTCAGAAATACTTCCATTCACTCATGAAAAATTAAAACTGAAAATCACATTTCAATATTATTTTGAACATAGTTTTTCCTTCACAGTCCCCTCATAAATGTCTTTATATATTATGTATGAAATTTTTGTCGTTCAGAGAAATAAAAATTAAGTCTATACCTAGAAAATCAGCTGGTTTCTACTAGGTATAAATCATCAGCCCCCTTACTAAACATCATTGTTATTCATTTCTAAAGGTCAAATATTTTAAGAGTTCTATGTGAGTTGGACTAATAAGTATCAGGTTCAATAGAAAACTTCACATGGTGGAATTTAACATCTAATTATATGCACACTAGAAATTAAGTAATATTGCTATTCTGGGACTGGTATTTCAAAATAGCTGGAAGAGCACAGCTGGTGTTGCTTGGTGGTTGAGGTCAAGGTTCGATTCCCTGTCAGGGCACAGAACAGGATTGCTGGCTCAATCCCCAGAGTGGGGCAAATAAGAGGCAGCCAATCAAGGACTCTCTCTCATCACTGATGTTTCTCTCTCTCTCCATCTCCCTTCCTCTCTAAAAATAATCCTATATAATAAAGAGGTAATATGCAAATTGACCATCATACCTTTGCACAAGATGGCCACCCCCACTGGTTACAAGATGGTTGCCCCAATGTGGTCAAAGATAGCTGTGCCCATGTCACCAAATATGGCCACCACAAAACGGCCAGCAAGTTAGGGCAGATGGAGGTGATAAGACTGGCAAGGGAGAGCAATTAGGAATGAGCAGGCCAGCAGAGGAGTGGAGAGGGGATGATTATGCTGGCAGGAAGAATTGGTTAGGGGCAATCAGGCAGACAGGCAAGCAGCTGGGAGCCAGCAGTCCCAGATTGTGAAAGGGATGTCCAATTGCTGGTTTACACCTGATCCCATGTGGAATGAGGCCTAAACCAGCAGTCAGACATCCCCCAAAGGGTTCCAGATAGGAGAGGACTCAGACTGGACTGAGGGACACCACCCCCCCCCCGCCGCCCCCAGTGCACGAATTTTGTGCACTGGACCTCTAGTAGAAATATATTTTAAAATAAACTAATAAGAAGATACTTACTTGTCCAAAGTAAAAGCTGAGCTATCTTTCCAAGCCCGTTTCTGTTCACTGCTGTTGTAATATAAACTAATCCAAAACTTTACTGCTCCAATATGACATTGCTTCATTGAAAAATTTTTTACAAAATCCTGGAAAGAATAAGAACAGGAAATAAATGAATATAATACCTTTGAATATATATATATATATATATATATATATATATATATATATATATATAACTTTTAATTTATTTTATATATATATATATATATATATATATATATATATATATATATATAAATTAAAAGTTTTATTTACTTCATTAAACATTTTTATTTTTTATCTGGAATTGTAACACTATAATAAAAAATGCCCTTGGGATTTTTTGGCAACTCACCAATAACCTATAATTTATTCATTAATCATACAACTATTATGTAGCCCTCATAATACTGTGAATATTGTGCTGCATATTGAGAATTGAAAGGCAATAAATAGACTTGTTACCTGTGAATTTAAGAAAGAAAGATGCAAACAAATTAAGGAAGCCATTGCCACAGTAAGGAAATTACCGGATAAAATTAGAGAGGATTTAACAGAAACTATTTTAGGACCAGGTGATCAAATACGTTTTTAAATACTATAGATATTTTAGGATAAACCATAAAAGTAAATAGGCACTTACTAGGGTGTGGTTACAGAGGATTTAAAAGAGGACAGTAAAATTGTGAGAGGATAGAATTAAACATCAGTAAGCACATAGTGAAGAAGTTTAAAAAGTGGGTGAGGAAGTGGAAGTAATAAAACCTTATTGGTAACTAAGGAGGCTGTGGAGAAAGGCAATAGTGCAGACGGGAATAAAGCTTGCACTCATATAAGGCTTAGGGGCTTTGAACCAGGTCCCCAGGAAGAGTTTCAAGAAAAAGGAACAGTATAATCTGGCGTCTCGAATGCATTTCCCTGTGCGGAAACAGGATATCAGAGCAGACAAAGCCTAAAGCCCAAGAAATACCTCCTGCAGAAAACTACTAAAATTTAAGAAACATATACTTGCTTTTACCATTTCTTTTTCAGTATTTACTTTAAGAAAACTTGAAGACCACGTAGTACAATGAACGTCACAATTTTTCCAAAAACTTGGTTGTGCAGAAACAGAGTAGCAGTTTTCCCCATGTTGGTGCCAGTTGTCTTCACAAGGGTGACACTTTGAACCTGAAGAAAAATCACCGTCAGTCTAAATGCCTCCTCTTAGTGCATTTATATGTAGGAATATGGGTGTTTATGTTGTGAAAAATAAGTGAGAAGCAATTTATATATTATATGATCAATTCTATTCACCCATTTAAAACTGCTGCTCTGTTAACTAATGGGCAGTATGCTAAGGTGTGACTTATGCCACTGTAGTTTAATGGGACGATTATTACTATGTAAGCTTTATTGACAACTTCCAATTTTAAGTGGATTTTTAGCAAATGTGTTTCTGGGTATTTAACACTGTATGATATGTGTGTCATATGTTTTATTACTTAATTATTGTATATGCATATAAATAAACACATAGATAGTTTGATTTTCTATCTTTAAAGAAAAGTGACCTTGTTCCTAGTTACCTTGAACTTTTGTCGACAGCGGGAGAATCGATAAATTTCCTGAAATGAATTCCTTCTGGTCTGTTTTCTCACTGAAAGTCACATTGCCTGAACATGGCTCTGTTTCTGGAGACCAAATCACAAATATCAGTGTGGTTTGTCACATGTGCCTGAAGATAAGTGTACTATGGCACAAGCACTTTATTTGTCTGGTGACTACAAATAGATATCTAAAGGCACCATCTAATTGGAGAGGATACACAAACAAATCTAATAACAATAATACAAGCCTGATGGGAAAATTAACGTAATATCAGTAAGATCACAGATTACAGAGAAATTGACTCTGATAATGACAACCTGTGGGAGATTTCTCAGAAAAAAGTAGTCCTGGTGTAAGTTTAAGTAGGAGAAAGAGGTTAACAGGCAGCAAAAGAAAGAGGAGTTTCTAGTTTATGTAGATGGAATGGTAGGAAGGAAAGGACAAAGTCGGGAAAGTTCAAGGTAAAGACATAGTAATTTGATGTGGTTCTTAAAATCATCTCTAGTATAGAGACAATAACAACAAAAAACGAATTGGTGCTAAGGATAGTACCTTAGAAAATAAAAGACCTTAAGGAGATTCCTCTCCTTGAGCAGTGAGCAAGCTGACTTCTTTTCTATCTTAGAGACTTACTCTTTGTAGCTAAGATTCCAACAGTCACAAGGAGCGCCAAGCAGATGAAGCCCAGAACCGCAGAAATTAACTTCCATGAAGTCTGTGAGGCAGAGTAGCCTAATAGAAAGAGAGCAGTTAATTGGTTCAGCATTGGCTTCTAGATGCTTATTCTCAGTTTCTCCATTTTTTCAGTTATGCTTTACAATCAGCATTATTTTGTATTAATTTCAGGTGAACAGCATAGTGGTTAGATAATAAGTATACTTTACAAAGTGCCACCCCACACACCTGGCACCATACATAGTTGTTACAATGTTATTGACTATATTTCCTATGCTGTACTTTACATACACAAAACTGTTTTGTAATGACCCATCCTTCACCTTTTTCACCCAGTTTTCTAATACCCTCCTTCTGGCCACTATCAGCCTCTTCTCTATATCTATGAACCTGTTTCTGTTTTGTTTTTAAGTATTTCATATTCAAACTCCAAAGACATGTCTATTGGCCTTATCTGGCTGCCAATTGTGTTGTAAAACTATTCTTGAGTTAATGGTCTTGGTATTATTTTTAATATAACTGTAAGATGAAAATATTCTCTTTTTAAAATAAAAATTTTAAAAGTTATAGGCAATACTTTTATTCCATTAGAAAATTTGAGAACATATCAAAAAGAAATACAAAGACAATCACTTCCTTGTGGGTTTGGATCTGTGGATAGAGCGTCGGCCTGTGGACTGAAGGGTCCTGGGATCAATCCCAGTTAAGGGCACGTACCTTGGTTGCAGGCTCCTGGCTCTGGTTGAGAGCATGTGGGAGGCAACCAATGGATGTGTCTCTCCCACATGGGAGTTTCTCTCTGTCTCTCCCTCTTCCTTCCACTTTTTCTAAAAATAAATGATGGAAAAATCCTCTGGTGATGAGGAAGGAAGGAAGGAAGGAAGGAAGGAAGGAAGGAAGGAAGGAAGGAAGGAAGGAAGGAAGGAAGGAAGAAAATTAAATCCAAACACTAAGTGTTCACACAGAAGCACATCACCATCATTTTCCTTGATTGTGTCTATTTTACCTAGTTAAAGTTTTTACTGCTTTAACAGGCCAAGACATTTCTAAATAAATGTTTTTAAGTTGACTGTATAATATTCACTCTCATGTATATAATCATCATTTTTTACTATTCTTCTCTATTTGAACAATGAGATAATTTCTATAGGTCTAGTAATAATTAATGTTGTTTTTTAATACTTTTTTAAATCGAATTTATTTAAACAATACAACAAAATTTAATCAACAATATAGTTGCTGTTGTTTTCTACTACTTGTGTCCAACGCTCAGGAAGCATTTTAATCCCTCTGTTGTAAAATTCTTGTGATTTTGATGCAAAAGATTCGGTCAATGCATTTTTGAGGCATTCTTCATTATTAAATTTTTTTCCAAGAAGAAAGTTTTGCAAAGAACGAAACAAATGGTAATCGGAAGGGGCAATATCAGGAGAATATGCAGGTTGAGGGAGTACTTCCCATTCCAACTGGCACAGTTTTTCAGCAGTGATTCTTGCAGTATGCGGTCGTGCGTTATCGTGGTGAAGAATTACGCCCTTCCGATTAATCAGCGCGGGTTCTTTTTCTCTTAAAGCTTGGGCTAACCTTTCCAATTGGGCACTATACACTGCACTTGTAGGGTTTGGTTAGATGGTAAAAGTTCATAATGAAGAATTCCTTTAAAATTCCACCAAACACACAACATCACTTTTTTCGCATGGAAGTCAGGTTTTGGCGTGGGCTGCGGAGCCTCATTTTTGTCCAACCATTGAGGCCGCCTTTTCAAATTAACATACAGCACCCATTCTTCATCTCCGGTAACAATTTGCTCTAAAAACGGCAAACGGTTTTGACGAGAGAGGAGCGAACTGCAAATTGTGACTCTTTGATTAAGGTTGTTGTCGGTCAACTCATGAGGAACCCATTTTCCAAACTTTTGGACTTTGCCAAGTGCACGCAATTGATTGGAAATTGTTTTTTGTGAACAATTTAAAGTTGTCGCAAGCTCTTGTTGGGTAATTTGAGGATTTTGCTCCAAAAGAGCTTAAAGAGCTTCTTGATCAAAATTGGACACACGGCCTCAACCACTCTTGTCATCTAACGAAAAATTTCCCTTGCGAAATTTCTCAAACCAACGCTGGCATTTTCTGGTGCTAACTGCATCTTGACCAAGAGCACTACAAATGTTTTTTGCAGCCTCACTTGCTTTTCTTCCTAATTGGAACTCATAAAGCATGCAGTGCCGAATATGCTCTTCATCCGCCATCTTCTTAGCCCTAGTTTTGCAACAAAAACCAAACCAAACACAAACTTTTTCAAGCAAAACTTGTTAATTGCACTTCACACGTTCTGTAGATAACACGTGTTTGAAGGTTATGTCAATACAAGTCAACGCCAAGCAAGATTTTAAACGAATGTTGAAAAACGACATTAATTATTACTGGACCCGATACAATGCACTCCCTATTAAAATGGACTCTTTTAAAGAAGTAGAACAAGCAATCCTAGAATTGTATGAAGCCACAAAAGATCCCAAATAGGCAAAGCAATCTTTTCTAAAATATGTTTTCATTGATTTTAGAAAGAGAGGCAGGGAAAAAGAGAGAGAGAGAGAGAGAGAGAGAGAGAGAGAGAGAGAGAGAGAGAGAGAGAGAGAGAGAGAGAGAGAGAGAGAGAGAGAGAGAGAGAGAGAGAGAGAGAGAGATACATTGATGTTAGACAGAAACATCAATCACCCTACCGGGGATTAAAACCACTACCTGGGTGTGTGCTCTGAGCTCTGACTGGGAATCAAATTGTCCACCTTTCAGTACATGGGACAAAGCTCAACCAATTAAGCCACAACATCCAGAGCTAGGCAAAGCAATCTTGAGAAAAGACAAAAAGTTGGAGGCATCATGCTTCCTGATTTCAAACTATAATACAAAGCTATAGTAATCAAAAGAGTATGGCACTAATATTAATATTAAAAAAAAGATACATAGATCAGTGGAACAGAATAGAGATCCCCAAAATAATATATGATGAAGAAACCAAAAATATACAATGAGGAGTAGTCTTTTCAATAAATGGTGCTTGGAAAACTGGTCAGCTACATATGAAAGAATGAAACTGAAGCACTATTTTATACCGTAAGTTCAAGGTAAAGACATAATAATTTGATGTGGTTCTTAAAATCACCTCTAGTATAGAGATAATAACAACAAAAAACGAAATGGTTGATCTATTTGGATGTGTCTTTTGTTTGAAGTGTATCCTTGGAAATGTGGAGAAAATACAAAAATTAACTGAAATAGTTTGGTCTTGAACATAAGACCTGATACCTAACCACCCCAGAAGAAATCATATGTGGTAAGCATCTTGGTGATGATGTTTTGGATTTGACACTAAAAGCAAAGGCTAAATAAGTAAAGTTTGACTTTATCAAAGTAAAAAGATTCTACACAGCAAAGGAAACCACCAACAAATTGAAAAGGAGCCAGGGCCTGGAGCAGCAGCAGCCAGGCCTGGAGCTGCAGCAGCTGGGCCCAGAGTAGCAGCAGCCGGGCCTGGAGCAGCCGGGTCGAGCAGCAGCTGGGTCCGGGAGCAGCTCGCTCCTTGCTTGCCCATGCCCCAGGGCTGCTTCTCAGACATGGATGGAAACTTTTGGGGGAACTTGGAGGTCTGCTGAATCAAGTGATGAAGACTGTGAAAGAAAAAAGCCACATGCTAACCTGACAAGCACAGGGAAGGCCTGCGTGGCAGTCTTGCAAACCCAGAGACCTAAGATAACCCACAAAAGATGGTTTGAAAATTAAATATCTAACAGGTTATAGTAGGTAGTCATGTCCCAGATATTTCCCAAAGATCAACTTTGATCTTTTTACTGAGCCCATTTGCCTTTTTGCCTCTAAGATGTCTGAGATGTCTGGGTAACTTGTAACTTCCCTTTTTCCAGAGCCCCTGGGGAACAACCAAATGTGGTGGGCACCAGGACAGATGCCTCAAATTCCTTCTTTATCATGTTAATTGTTCCTGCACTCACCTGAGTACACGTCCATCATTTTACTTTTTATCCAATCCCAGGAGTTTCCCACCACTTTGCTTTCTCCCGCCTCCTTACTCCCATCACCAATGAATTTCATGTATCCCACCTATGTCCCTCCTTTGATTTCAGTGTATAAATAGAGAAATGTAGTCCACCATTCTTTGGAGCATTATCTCAATCCATTGAGGTTCTGCTTCCCGGCAATTGTCGACAGTAAGGCTCAAATAAACTCTTTAAAAAATTCTTTACAAGTTTCAATGGTTTTTTCGTTAACAAGACTTAGATCTGGATGTGTTGAGTTGTTGTAGCACTGGGGTGTTGATCTGTGAGTGCCTTGTGTGGGGTCTGGATGGGGTTGGTTGATCTATTTGGATGTGTCTTTTGTTTGAAGTGTATCCTTGGGAATGTGGAGAAAATGCTAAGTAATTGATTTGCTACCTGAAAAATTTAAAGTTCTGAAAGTTTAAGGTCTCTTGCCAAAAAGAGGTTTTAAAGCTAACACCTTAATTTTAATGGAGAAAGGGGGGGACATGCCCTTCCCACCCAGAACAGGTAATCCAATTCCAGCCAGCAGCTACCTTTAAACAATGTGTTCATTTACATTTGAATGGCTACGCATTTTGATAGCCCAAGGGCAAGTTTACATGTAAACAAGTTTGCTTCTCAGTTCCCAGGGCAGAAAAAACAAGGTTTAAAATTATTAGATTTTAAAATTTATTCTTAAAAATATAAGTTTATTATTTTAAAAAAAGACACCCAAGGAAATTAAAAAACCTGATGAACAATATTAACTGTTGATCATAATAGAATCATAGATACGGGAGGGGAGTGGACTGACATTCTCAGGTAAAGGGGAGTGGTGGATGTGGGAAGAGACTGAACATAAACTGCACCTATGGATGAGGACAATGGGGGGTGGGTAAGGGCAGAGGGTGGGGTGGGAACCTGGTGGAGGAACTTTTGTAATAATATGAACAATAAAGATTGATTTAAAATAAAAAATAAAAAAAGAAAGAAAAGGGAACCAACTATTATGCGAGGAAATATTTGCAAATTATATATCAGGTAAAATACATAAAGAATTC